GGGCCATCTTCCAATTGTGATGCAATTGGCCGTGCCAGAAGCTGGATTTCCACGCCATGTTGCACACCCTGCACTCCTGCCAAGGGCTTCCTAGCTGCCCTGTGTTCTGGTTTCTCTCAACAAGTATTTCACTTCGGCTACAGTGGCGAGTTGGTCGTTGAGATGTTTCAGGACTTTTCGAAGGCCATATCAGGCAGGCAGGCTCGCGTGCCAACAACATAGCACGCGGTGGGAAAGTCGCTGTCAAGTTTGCCTTGCTTTCGAGTTTCATGAGAGTGCAATAAAAGTGGCAGATTGGCACTGCTGCGGTCGCCTTTTCAGCAAAAGGAAGTTCAGTGAAGTTTGATGGGAGCTTGCAATTCCGAGTTAGCTGTAGCCGTAAATGCAACACAATCACTGCACTGACATATAGGTAGTATTCATCATGGCAGCCAGCTTGGAACTTTTGCAGGATCCACGAGCTGTGACCCACCATGAATGAAATGGGTTTCCGGAACTTGCCACATTTCGAGTCTGCAATAAATCATGACCATGCTCCATATGGCAAACAAGTACCGCATTCAGGATCACCATCATCATCATAAAATTTGACAAACCAACGCCAAGGGTATAGCTGCCAGCTTCATAACTTTTACGGCATACAGGATCCCAGCCACCATTGCATGGGGCCACGTGCGCTGTCGCGAGATGCCATTATTGAGGTACAGATGGGGGGCCATTCGAGTGAGAGTTACGCAAAAGCGCATTGAATACGGGAGCTGCGTGCAACACCTCGCATCGCTTTTCACTTCCCACAGATGTTGCTATACAAATATAGCAATGGCTTCAATGGGGACTGCAAAAGCATGCTTGTGATCGCACTTGCCTAGCACATGGCACTCCGTCTTTTGGCATCATATCGCATCTACTCGAAGCATCAAATGGATATTTGCAAGAATATCAAGCCTTATCATAATATCCTTGAAAGTTGTGCCTATCGCGAATTTCAGCCCAGCTCCGGACGCCCACACTTGCGTGCAACATGGTAACATGGAACATTCTTAAGTGACACCCGTACAAAACGAGGACCACAGGTATATGTTCTGCCGCCAGTCACCCATTGCTCTTCAAGCGTTTCCAGAAACAGAGAGCAAAGCACCAGCCAACAGAATCCAATTTATCAATATTATGCTTCGCTGAGGTAGCCATAGGCTCTGTTATTGACCTGGCCACCACAGCCCAACCACCAAGGTGAAAATCTGTGCCTTACAACTCTGCTCATACCTCTAGTGTTACATTGAAAAAACCAAACGAGAGAACTAGCTGCATCCGACATCGCCTTTCGTCCCTTATGGAAAGGCCCTGGGCTGCCTGCTGCCCCACACCACCTTCGCTTTCATTAGATGGCCTCATCTGCTGTACCCTCTGCCATTCCAGACTTCCCACCTCCTGTGGGTGCACACCCTCAAGGCCAGACGTTCGTCCCTGTCCGGATAGAGATCGTGTGGTGCGCAGCACTGCAGAACTTGGTCCTCGGATTGCAGCCCTGGCTGGAGCCCGTACATTGCCTCCGTTGGTGTCGTGCTGGGTGTTTGGGGCCTGAACACCCATTTCCGTTCTGTGGGTGTGCGCGCGAGCAAGGGGGGCAGATGAAGAAAATGTGTTGCTTGCTGTAGTGGCATAGGGTAGCTGTACATGACAACCCTCTCTTGTATCTTCCAGCTGCCAAGAATCCAGAAGTGGAGGGCTGCTCCCCAGCAAGGAATCAGAATGTGCAGATGCTGAAGTCGCTGGGCTGCCCACAGGATGATATTGAAGACCGTTGGGCAGCCGGTCCACACCACGGCCGTTGGAACTGCCTGCACTCGAGGCATAGGGCTCTCCCCCAGGCAGTGCCTCAGCATTGTCCCTGCCAGCTGCGAATGAGTCTATCTGCCCTGACGTTGACAACCCTGGGTTGCTGAGAGGGCAATCAGCACCCACAGTGTCCATGCACAGCTGGTTAATGCATGGACTCCCATAGCTTCCCTCTCCTGGTCCATTGGCTTCTCCAATTGTTGTTGCCCTGTAGCTTTCCTCTCTTGTCAAACTGGCACGCCATCCACCTGCCAGCTGTGCAGTATCAACTCCTAGGCAGCCAGCACGATCAGACAGACACGACTCAGTCTCGCTTAAAGAAAGGCAAGACACTCTGGTTTTTTTGTTCTTCAGGTTGCCCAAATGTCGATGGGACAAAGGAGGTGTCCCGGCATCACCATTGCACTCATCATTTTGGCTGTCAAGCGCCAAAGCCTGTTCATGTTCCAGCAGCCAGGGGCTGCCTGAGCTCGATCTGCAATCTTGCCCAACGCTTGAGTTTGAAGCTTCTGAGCTGCTCAACTTAGGTACAAAAGGAAAAAGGGGCATCACAGGTCGCAGCCGTCCATCCACAGAATTTCCACTCCTTTCCTCCCCTTCAGCAGACTCTCTGCTGCTGATCTCGCTGGGCTGGTATGGCACAAAGGGAGCCTCCAACAAAGGCCTGGTCAGAGCGTCAAAGTAACCAGGGTCTGCAAGGCCCCCCAAGTCCGAACCACTATCTGCCTCTTTCTTCGACCATTTGGGCTCCACGGTAGCGAAGCCTTTGAGCCTGGTGAGGGTCATGCAGAGAGGCAGCAACAGGAAAAAGAAAAACAACATGATACCAATTCCTTGCAAGATGCCTATTGCGCCCAGCTTGCCCCAGAAGAAGAAGCCAGTGAAGTTATGTGGGCTGGGGGTGACGAAGGTGCAATTATCCGTGATGATGCTGCAGGTTCCGCCTCCATCCTGGAGCACAGCTGTGAGCTCCTCATCCACAAAAGAACAATTCAGGAAAGTCATGTCGCAACTGCAGTTGACGAGAGGGCTGTTGACATCATGCCCAACATCATTTTCGAAGTCTGATGTGTTGAAAACAATGGAGGCGTTGCCTGTGCATGCCAGGGCACCACCAGAAGAAGTGGCGCTGTTGGAAAGAAACTTGACATTGCTTCCCTGGAGTGTGGTATTGCCCTGCAGGAGGAAGCCCCCTCCATAATCTGCCATGTTCTCCTCCATGACACCACCAGTCACATTCACTTCCACAGTGCTGTCAAAGTTCACAGCACCACCTGCCTGCCCACAGGTGTTTCTTATGAAATTGACTGATTCCAAACCCATAGACAGAACTTGCTGTGACACCACAGCACCCCCCGATATACTGGCACTGTTATTCTCAAAAGAGCAATTCTGGAAGTTTAGATCGTCCACAAGGGCAGCATGCAATGCACCTCCCCTGCCAATGCCAGTGGCTGACACAGTGCTGCCGCCTTGACATTCACCTGTGCACACGACAGCATTCTGTGCAAAAACAGTGTTCCCAACCTGCACATTTTCAAGGTCAATAAGGTCCACTGCACCTCCAACGAAGACCGCACTGCAGCCCTCGAACTTGGAGCCTGTCATTGTAATCCTTTTGGAGGATGAGGCAGCCAGTGCACCACCTGTCGTGGCACTGTTCGAAGCAAAAACAGTCTTGTTGACAATAATATCATGCTGCTGCTCCATACGTATCCCGCCACCACTTGCAGCAGCTTGATTGCCATCAAGCCTGGAATCTTCAAGGGCAATGATCCCCACACCATGTAGATGGAGCGCACCCCCATCAGCCTCACTTGCCGAATTCGATGACAAATTGCTCCATTGAACACAAATGTTCCCAACCTCTTCCACCATTGCTGCCCCACCAGCATGGAAAGCGGAATTGTCAGTAAATGAGCAATTCCAGACCTTGATATCAAGCCCTGACGTGATATGCAAGGCCCCTCCATCAGCTCCCAGAGCCATGTTGTGCACAAAATTCGAGGAGTTCAACACCACCCTTTGAACATCTTGCAGCTCAACGGCCCCGCCACACTGCTTTGCAATGTTGTCGTGGAATGAGGAGTTGCCAACATTGATTCCTTGAGTCCTAGAGGCTGCAAGGGAGCCCCCTGCCAGTGTGGCCTCATTGAAATTGAACTGTGCACCAAATATGTTAGTGGTCCCCACATGTGAGAGTGACAAAGCGCCCCCTGATTCACTCGCGAGGTTGAACATAAAGGCTGATGTCGAAACTTGTACATTTTCAACACCAGTGAGGTGGGCACCGCCACCTGTCCCTCCACTCGCCTTGTTTCCAACAAAGGAAATGCCAACAAAACTCACCAACTCCCCTTTTTCAACGTATATGCCACCCCCATACTGCGCCTCGTTTCCCTGGAAAAAGGATTCAGCGAAAGTGGACGAGCCTGCCAGAAACATAAACAATCCCCCACCATTACTCTGTGCCCGATTTCCCTCTAACTGACACCCTACCACATCCAACCTGCTGTACATTGCATACAACCCACCACCACTCTTTGCTTCGTTCTCATAGAAAGTTGAGCCCGCAATCCTGACAACAGACTCTGATGTCCGCACCTCCCCAGAGGGCCCATCAACGAAAACAGCACCTCCCCTAGAAAGGGCCCTGTTGTGCTCAAAATGGCACCCAGCCACTCTCAGAACACCTCCACCAGCCACAAGAATGCCGCCACCTATTTTCGCCATGTTCCTCTCAAACCAACAGCTGTCTACTTCAGCCAAAGAGCCTTCAACATACACTCCTGCGCCTCCCCATAGAAAGTTATCCATGAATCTGGACTTGATGAGCTTGACCGATGAACCTTTCCCGCTGACATGTACTGTACCCCTCTGGCCACCATACCCTGACATAGTGCTGTTTGATACCCTCGCCGCTGAACCTTCAGTGACCAAAATGGCCCCTGCAACTGAAACCAGGTTTCCCTGAAACGACTTCAGCTCGTGCGTTGCATACTTCCCTACTACAAGAGCCCGTAGTTCAAAAATATCTGCAACTGGCAAGTGCTCCCGCACCCCAAGGAAAGAAGAGTCCTCCACAACAAGTGTACTCCCCCCATGCAAATGTATTGCCCCCGCATACCCTACTGCTGAATTCCGATCGAACACACACTGCCTGGCCTCCACATGACTCTGCTCACGAACCGCAAGAGCTCCAGATGCAGCTGCAAAGTTTCCTTCAAACCAGCAATTGTGCAAAGTGACAGCGCTCCTCCCAGTTATGAAAACGCCACCTGCTGTCAGTGCTACCTGCTGGTTCTGTATCGTTGTGTTGGAAATGCTGACAACCGAGTCGTTGACGATTATCGGTGCCAGGACGGCACCACCAGGCAGCTCGGCAGGGAGAGATTCAAAATTCGAATCAAAAAGTGAAAGAGAAACACCCTGAAAAACCAAAACCCCTACTCCATGGTCGATACCTTCTTCACGTGGGAATCTCCCAAATATTTTGATCCCATAGTTGTGGAAGTGCACCTCTGTTGCAAGCGCTATTGGTGTGGTCTGATTGTATAATGCCACGCCTCCACAAACTAATGTCGTCTTCAGGCTTGGGCCAATTCTTTTCACACTGGCTTGGCAGTCCAGGGCCGCCAACGGTTGAGCCAGCAACACGATTGCACACATCAGGTAGCCACAATACATGCATGGAATGCTGCAGCAATGCATTGGCAGGGCGTCCTTCAACCCATTGGTGGCTCAGGTCTCCCTCCGCCCTCCGTCTTCAGAACCTGCGGACATGCAAAGCAGGTCAGGGTCTCAATTCTGCTTCTTCTGTTAACTTTAAAAAAAAAGGCAACTGTTAACTGTTAACTTCTTCTTTTAACAAAACTCAGCCCCCGACCATGGCTCACCACAAGATCAAATTTCGGAACAGCAACTCTTCACCTGTGTGACTTGTCAACCAACTCCCACTCTCAAGTTCGCGTCTGTGCAGTGGCTACACATGCACACAACTACCATTCCAAAGGAACAATATCCATGCATGCATCCTCTCACGTCAAGGAACAAGATTCCGATGGATGGGGGGCGTTGAGCAGGGACCAAATCGACAAACCCATTGCGGGTGACAACTTTAAAACGCAGCCAGTTCGGGGCAGTCCTAAATTGGGAATGACGATGAGGCAACGAAGTTAAATTCGCTCGAAGCTGTCCAGCAGCACCGTCGCGTCAATGTGCCGTGACTAATGATGGGCCCCCTTCCTGCGCTTCACGCCCCATTCCCCACAACACCAGCAACACCCGTAAGGGTCACCAGGCAGACAAGGGCCGCTAAGCCCGCTGATTCCTCGGCGCCTGGGTCGGCTGACACCCGCGCACGTGCCTCCCACCCCGGGCCCCACCCCCGACCCCACCCCCACCCCCACACGGGCCGCGCCGCCGCCGGTCACTTCCCCCTCCCCCGCCGGTCCCTCTCGTCTCATCGAGACGTCACATGCGGTCACAATACCGACGCCGCCGACAATCTGGTCCCGTTGGCTGACCGGCCTTTGCATGGCATGAAAGTGACGTGTCGTGGGTCTGTGGCATCTGCGCCAGTTAGGACCCCTTGAAGCCAACGCGATCTCCCGTCCCCGTGGCGTCAAGGGCACCCGGCCGCGGAGCAATAAGGCCAGGCGTCCCCGCCGGGGCGCGCCTCACACACATCCCCGGAGACCGCGGCAAACTGGCCGGCATCGGACAATCCACTCACATCGGACGCCACAGCGCAGTCGCGCAGCACGGCGCCTTTGCAGCAGGGCGGGCGTGCGACACCGCATGGAGCAGGGGGATCGCCGGCCCGCAGATGGCCTCGCGAAACAGATGCTGGGGGGCCCGGGGGCGGGGCGCCCTCGACCGACCCACTGGAGCTGCGCCCGCGCGGGCCGAGCGGTGAGCGTCCCGGAGCGAAGGGTGGGCCCTGGCGGACGCTGCGCAGGCGTCCAGGACGCCTGCCCCCAGACGCGACAGCCACAACGGGAGCCACCCCTGTCCCGGGATTTTGCCGTGCGGCGATGAAGGAGGTCATGAAACGTGGCTGCGCTTCGTTAGTCAAATGAGCGGGGCGTCGGCATTGTTTTTGGGCAGAAATTGCAGCCCCCTGCCGTCGGTCTTGGGCGCTCCGAGCTGTCACCACGTGCGCACTTTGAGATGCAGGCCGCGTGTGGCTCCAACCAGCACCAGCCACGGGCCCACCCAATTGACAACCCACCAGCGCCACAACAAGCACACGACGGTGCGGCCGGCATGCATTTCCACCTGACCGGTCTCCTGAACCCACCCGGTCATGTTCCCCACACGACAAACATTACAACAAAAGGTGTCCATCACCGACAACTCCACATACCCGAGGTCCCCGTACTTAACAGTTTGCCCTTTCGCTTCGCCCATACTTCACTTCACGTTTCTCCCGTGACAGCAACCCTGAGTCACCCCCTTTCCCGTACAGCAGTCCACTCCGTCCTGTCTTCCCCTCAACTCAACCGAACTCCACTCTCTAGGGCGGGAGGGCTGGGTGCGAAACAAGATAGGAGGGGGACCGAGGGGGGAGCCTAAATAGCCGCCCCCGCTCAGCCCCGCCAAAGCCCGCCAAGTCCAAGCCGCCAAAACGGGCGGACCCTTGGACCCTCCGTACTTTGACTGACCCAAGGTACTAGGAAGGGCCAGAAACCCGTTTGAATACGATTGCGCCCGATTCAAAACTCGGCGCAACCCACCCAATGTCGTCCTGGGTGGAAATCTATTAACAAGATAGTTAATGTCATTTCCACCTGACCGGTCTCCTGAACCCACCCGGTCATGTTCCCCACACGACAAACATTACAACAAAAGGTGTCCATCACCGACAACTCCACATACCCGAGGTCCCCGTACTTAACAGTTTGCCCATTCACTCTCCAAGGGCACGGGAAGCACCACCGGGGCAGAAAATGTGCCCAAGCTGGGCGTGGAGGTCGCGGGCGGTGATCGTCATCCACCCGAACAAACGAAAGTCCCACTCAGTGGGTAAACAAAAAATGTCCACGTAAGACCACATGGAGTCAGACTTCCAGCCCCCCAGTCCCGAATGCGCCGCTCGGCGACCCCCAAAGCAAAGCAACTGGACGCACCGCCGCCCCGAAGGCCATGGTGCGTGAAAGGTTCGTGGGCGACGGTCGGGTGGTGGGCCAGCAAGTCCATAAACCAAGCGGCCACCATCTTGGAGCCGGGGGAAGCCTCGCCAGGAAGCCGGTAGAAATGGCGAGGCGCCTCGTCCGTTTGCGCCCAGGCGTGGTCACGGAAAGCCGTCCAACGGAGGATGAGCTCGACCACTTCCGGGGCGCCCTGGGAGGGCCAGGACCGAAAACGTAGACGAGGGGCTGCATCCTTGTGCAGCTTGGACTTGCGCTCCCAAAATAAAATGACGCCGTCCGCCACCCGGATGTCCTCCGCCAGCACAAAGTGGCCGGACTGGGCCCGGTTGAAAAAGATGTAGTCGATGTATGCAGCGCACGCCGCTCGAAGGTAGAGCCCATTCTCCGTGGTCAATCCCACGTTGAGGATGCGGATCATCACCTCGATGGGTACGGGGCGGTGATGTTGCACGGGGGCCGGCATAGCCCGGCGCCATGCGCGGGTGAGGACACGGGTGACCGGGCCGAATGCAGAAAAGCCAAGGTGCCCAGACATATGATGCACCATAAAGATGGCCGCGAGGTACTGCGGCAAAGAACGAACGCCCACCTTGCCTTCTTCACGTATTAAACCAACGTAGCGACGCTGATGCCGGCGCCGCTCTGAGAAACGGAATTCGCCTCGCAGCTCGGCGGCTCCGTGAGTAAGGGAATCGCCGCGCCATGCAGCTCCGATCGTCGGCCAGCAAGCCATCCACTTCGGTGCCGTACAACGGATGGTCCTCAGGGACCGGTTCCAAGGGGAACGGATCCAAAGGAGGCTCCCCAGCGGGAGGCGCCGGAGCCTCCGGGTCGCTCAGGACGTCCTCGCCAGTGGGGTCCGCAGTGTCGTCGTGTAGAATCCCCCAGGATAATGGCGACCAGATCGAGACAGAATGGCGGCAGTCGGCAATGTATTACAATGGTGGTGGGCCCCCTGGTCCAAACAAGGTCGAGTGCACCAGTGAACTGAGACAAATGGCCTATGGGGTGCCCACTTTTATAGGTGGCGCGCTCCCCCTCTCGTCATGGCACTCTCGGCCTCCTGTAATGTCCAATACACTCCTGTAATGCCAACCTCGGCCTCCGGTAATGCCACCTCGGCCCTTGAAGAGCCACTCACATGGTCCCTTGGCCCCTTGGCATACCCCTAATAATGCCAGGCGGCTTCCCCAAGCTATACCACGTCTCTCCAAGGTACCATGGCCGTAGGGGCGCTTGTACCTGTGATCCAATGTAATGCGGGTACCTGACAGGTGCCCGTATTGCCGGATCAACCCCATAATCTCTTGGAGTGTACTCCACCACTTCCTGGCGGCTCCCATCCGCCCATGACCGCGCACTACATTATAATAGGCTATAATGTTCATCAGCACACCGGTTCCATCAAGGAATAATGCCCCAAATGGCCAGAAATGGGCTAAATGTTCTAAATTGCCTTAATTACCTCATTATACCGAAAATTGGCCCATTTAACAAGATGAATGTGGCGATCATGATTAACACATTTTTAGACTCAGATGAACACATCTAACTCATCCAAGTCATCTAATTACCCGTCAATGTACAGTAGGGTGTCCAATCACTACACGTCGGGTGCGTCCTCGGCGCCACATGGAAGGCGCGCAAATTCCAGCGCGGAGGCGGAAGGGAGGACGGGAGGCTCGGATCCCCGGGGAGAAAGAGGTTGGGCTGGCGGGGAATGAAGATCTCGGCCCGCGCCATCGCCCGGAGGTGGGGAAACTGTAATGCGCACCGCCTTTACAGTATATCACTTCACCAGTACTTTACCAGGAGAGTGCCTGGATTAGCAACGGCATCTCTCAACTATCCCATCCTTGGGAATATCAGGCAGACCACAGTACTGGAGTACTTGGCACTGTAACAGGACTATCCAGCAGTGGATGAGTCATCAGGGATCATAGTGACCCGCCGGTCGCCAGCCGGTGTACTGCGAGAGATGGGTGCAGTACTTAATGGGTTTTGGAGTCTGGTCTGGGGTTCTTTTCCCCTCTTGGCGCCACCGCGCACTACATTGGTTTCGGAGCCACTTCGAACCGGGCCTGAGAGGCGAAGAGAGCAGCCAGAGAGACTCCAGAGGCTGGGGGCCCGTGGCCAGGGGCCTCCTGTCGATTGACGATGGCTGGCTCAGCAGCAGATGCTGAGAGAGAGATCCTGGATCCAGAGGGTGGTGAGGAGATCGCCCCAGGACCAGGACAACCAGGAACAGGCACAGAAGGACCTGCAAGAAGGCCTTCTGGGGACACTACAGGCACACCAGTGGTGACAGAGCCTGCCGAGGGGGAGATTGGCACCCAGGCTCCTGCAGAAATCCAGGTGGGGGGCAATTCAGGCAACCTGTTACGCGCACCAGCCTGATGTGGGAGACGTCCTACTAATGGCCCTTGGTGTGGGGGACGCCCTGCCCAAGGCACGTACTATTCCTCACCCAATGTAACCTTTATCCATATTAGGTTACGGGAGTAGGAGGGGTGGTCCCGCCTAGGTGCCCTGTAAGGACCTAGGTGCCCGGTGAGG